TTGCTCTCTCTCCTTTATCTTCTTCATTTAATTTTGAATGTTAAATTTTATTTAGAGAGCTCTACTAAATAGAATAACTTTTTTTTTTGAAATATGACTAAATAGAATAACTAATTGATCAAATTTTCTTTATAGCAAAGGGACATTGGTGCAAATGTTTAAGCTTCCTCCTATCTCAAACATGAACGGCCAACCCTAAAATTAAGCTCTCAACCCTTTCCTAACATTTTCACAAGAACCAGACGATGCTCAGACCAGAGCCCCAACAAACCAAGTGAAAGTGATGGACTTCCATTCATATGCTCAACCCTCTTTGAGAGTCTCTTGAATTAGCATCTTAAGTTTCATCAATGAACTTTTTACTGTAATTATGTGGGCACCGAAAAGAAAACATAGGTCGGATTTACACAACCAAAATTCATTTGAAGGGGTTGCAAACAAGACTTATTTCATAATAATTCCAAAATAATAGTACAAAATATACCGAATAACTCCATAGAAGAGTGGAAGGAAGAACATTCGATAACACCTACCGGCAAACAATTAATTAGATTAGGAGATTAGTATATAATGATTAAGAAAAATATATAGTAGTGTTGGTTATCAACAAGTGTTGTGTTGTGTTGTGTTGCGTTGCGTATATGTTTGTTGTTTTTGAACGGTCCTGTTAGCTTCAAATATTGTAGTCTATTGGTTAAGAAGGAATTATTAATCAATCACTCTTGTGTAGTTAGAATAAAACCGAATTAAGCAACTATGCGCCAATGTTAAGTTTCGTTCCTATTATTCTCACCGTTATTGTTATTGTTATTGTTATTATATATATATTAACTATACGTCCTTCTCCTCTCCATTGCTGGTATCGTTCCACGTAAATAATACAACAAAATTTTAGGTTAAACAATATGATTTTATTGTTGATAATGGATGGACAGGCATTTTGTTGTTACTCTTTTCTCTCTGTCTCTCTCTGCCAACTGGATCGGTTGCAGACCAATTCCTTTACTGGATGGATCTTTTTTGTCTCCACTCTGGGGTTTGGACCCATAGCATTGTCCAATCCGATGGTGCCACATAAATTTGCAATTGTTGTTATTATCAATCAATTATCTATCTATCTATAACTAATATATTATGGTTGTTTTATATAAACAATCTGCCACATCAGCTGGAGGTGATCTCTCATTGCTTCACACTATTCGCATTCCACGGCATTTTCTCACATTTAATCATCTTTGATTTGGGCCGTGCAAAAATAGAGCCCAAATTGGGCATTGTCTATTGTATAGTAGTATTGCCGATGGACCAAATTGTGCTCATGCAAACTTAAAATAAGGTGAAAGCGTAACTGTTGGTAATAAATGCAATTATACCTAAACTATTATCAAACTCCCACGACCCCTAGCCTTATGAAGATTTGATCCAGTAAAATGTTTCATTTCTGCGTAGCCATTAAGAACCTACCTCCTCCCTCCCTGGCAACTTATCACAAACGCCCTTAATTTGCAAATGAATTTCTTAAATTGGTGATTTAGGGTTTGTTTGGAAGTTATGAATGTTAAATAGATATAATGGGGTGAATATATGTATTGATGAATTTGATACATTTTAAAATATATTATCTAGTACTATAATGTGTATGTCACATAAGCAAAATGTTGAGACATAACAATCTCACCTCAACTATTTCAATAATATCATTTCAATGTTGAGATATAACAATCATTCATTCCGACTGATAATTTATGTCATATCACATAAATAATTCATGTATTGAGTATGCAAAAAATCAAAAAATAATATATAAATAATCCTTAATGTTATGAAATTCACTACTAAATTAGTGCTACATCTGCACATGGGTGACAAGTTCTAATTTTAGCTAATGTATTTTTTTCTTCCACTTTAAATTGCCATCATATCAATAAAAAGCAAATTTAATAACAATGAATGCAACATTTTGGTTTGTTCTGTCCCTTTTCCTGTATAATTTTCTCTCTAAATCTAACATTGAAACTAAGAGGAAAAAGGAATTGGGTTAAACCTTTAAACTATGTAATAACTAATAAAGCTCTCTTATTTGCTCAAACTTTGAGATTTTTAACATTTCTCTTCCTACTTTTTTACACATAAATACAAGGAAGGAAATGTTAAGGTATATGAAGGTTTTTTTCTTTCCAAAAGAATAGGAGACAATGATTAGATGGAAAATAATCAAGCAATTGTAAAATATTTTTTTCATTGACGAGAAAAAAATTTATCTTATCATTGCAAAGATGAAACGAACAAAACTGAGGGTTGTCGGCAACTCCCTCTTTCTCCTTGAGCGGCAGCTGGCAACTGATCCCCCTTCCTCAGCGATCCGTGACTGACTGCGGTTGACCAACCAAGTTCTAATCTTCTTCCCAATCTTTTTTAAATTTTTTCATATTACAACGTTTTAGTTTATAAATTTCTCCACTTGATCCCGCATATGTATTTCTTCTTCGTTTTTCATGTAGTTGTTTTATGGTTCTCTATTTTACTTTTTATGTAAATAGGTAGTAGATAATTGAAATGGTTTATTGCTTGGACTTAGAGCATCTCTACTTGGTTGAGTAGTTAATCGTTTTTCTTGGAGGCCTATGGCATCTGATTCCTTGGATTTTAAAATGGAAAGCATAGTTGAGTGGGTTGTCACCTTGCCATGTTCTTTTATGTTTATTATGTTCATGAGTGAAATGTTACTAGCTAGCTATATAATGATGATCGGGTTATAAAGTATTATGTAGCAGAGGGTTATAAGTAGAAGGAAATATATGTGGGGGTTTTATAAAAGTCATGAAGACGAAAGAAAGTGGTGATGGTGGTCTCTGTGTTGTCTGTATCGATGTTCTTTCACTTTTTATATGTTTGCAATGATATTTGTTAGTTTTCTTAGCTTGGATTTTGGTCTAATTGAATCCTTGCTTTGATTCTGACATAATTATTCTCTTACCAACTACTATTTGGATAGATGCATCAATCCAGTTCACAAATGAAGACTCTACAAGATAGAATGAACTTAATTGCAGGGAAGTATGCAACTTTCACTATTCAATAATGTTTTTATTAGCTAAAAAGAGCACCATTCCCTTTTTGCAAGTAATATATGTAGTTCTCTACTATATACGGTTTAGTTTGCTAAAAATATTGTTTCAATAAATTAGTGACAACTTATAATTCTATTTTTGGTTCGTTCCTCTAGAGCATTTTCAAGGTAAATTAAACGAGTAAGCGAATGATTGACGATATAGATGCCAATGTGGTACCTAACTCATTCAAAATTGCATGGATAACTAATACAACATGATATTCGTGGGATCTATATCACGATAGTCTCTATTATCATATACCAATATACGAGAAGGGAGAGAAAGGGAAAAACTCTTCACTTATTTTTTAGTTAATTCAAACTTACTTGCTTATTTTAACTTCTTCATTTGTGGCCCTTAAATGTTTTAACTTCTTTGTCACTTTTATGTACTAAAATATTAATAATCATGTCTTAAATGGTGACTTTCATACCAAATTCTAAATCAATAGAAAAAAAAATATACATAGAGCTAATCTAATAAAATTAAATTTTTCATAAATAAATGGAAGAAACAAAAGTGTGAAATGATAGCTAAAGTTAGGTAAGTGATATTAACAATTTCATTATAATACATTATAAAAAAAAATCATTATATTTTTATAATATATATGAAAAAAAATATTTAAATGAGAATAAAAATTACCCAACATACTGCATCGCCCAACGGGCGGGTATAAAACTAGTTATTATAAGGAAAACCTTGGATGCAAATCACGAGCCAATTGAATTGAGAGACAAAATGGTTTTAAACTTGCGGTCGGGTGTTTAATTAACGAATAACTCAACCTTTTTCTTCATTAATTTTGTTGTTTTATTTTGGGAAAAGAAAATGCCTTGCGGACTACCATGTCGTTCAGCCAGCCTGGAAATAGTTAAGAGACAGGTGAAAGGCAACAGAACAAAGTGGCCTCCCTCCCTCCAATGCTTTTTCCATTTTATTGGGTTCTCCTCCCTGAGCAAGAGGAAAGAGCCGAGGCGATTCCCTTTTCCAGATTTTGGATTTGCATAGGCACAAGAATTATTTACTTTCTCAATATTCCTAAGGCTAAACCCTCTACATTGGAAGTTCCAGTTCCAGTTCCAGTTCCACCCAAGTAGAATATGAAGGGGCAATCGGAAGTGGGTACAACAAATTGTTAATGGGCATGGAATGGGTTAATAAACCGACTTGCTATTTTAAAACGTGGTTAAAAATCAAACCACCATGCGAGTGGAGAAAACTAGAGATGAGCTTAACCACAATTGATTAAACGGAATGCATGGGATTGGGAGGGAGACCTAAACTACTATTCAGTAACAACCCCTAAGTTCAATTCTATCTGAAACTAGACTAGGATAGGATAGGATCGTGGGAAGAAGATAAATAAAATGATGGGAAACCCTAGTCCAGGCACTGACATATATAATATAATATAATATAATGGCGTAGAAAAAAAAACAACTCACCTCAAGCCCCCGTCTTGTCTTGTACTTGTTCCCAAGGGGGCTGGCTGAGTGAGGGCTGCAAATGAGCCGAGTCAAATTTTACTCCAACTTGAGTTCGGCTTGTTAATAAACGAGTTGAACTCGAGCTCAGCACATTTATTAACGAGCCGAGTCGAACTCGAGCTAGCTTGTTTATTAAAATACTAACTTTTATTTGATACTTCATTTTGTATATCATAATACATATGATTTATTTTGTTAGCTAATCTCATACTATACTTTGTTGGTACCATATATCATTTAGTTAATAAATTTTAACTACTCCAAATCATGTTATTTCATAGTATCGAAGCAATTTATGATGCATAATTTCTTTTTAAAGTAGAAAATAAGATATATTTGCTCACAAACTCAACGTGTTAAACTTATATACGGTGAGATAGATAATTTAACAACCATATGAATTAAAATCATAAGATATAGATTGATTCATCTATAAGTTGGTAATCGAGTGGCTCTCTAGCCACATGTCAACACATATCATGAGCTCTAAACGAGCCAGCTCACGAGTTTAGCTCAACAAGCCACCGAGTCGATCTAGCTCGCGAGCTGAACAAAGCTGAGCTCGTGTTCGGCTCATTTATTAACGAGTCGAGTTTCAAACGAGCTTTTTTCGAGTCGAACACCGAGCCGCTAGCGAGCAGCTCGACTCATTTGCAGCCCTTAGTGACTGAGCAGCACTAACCACATCCATCCACCCTGTCGTTAGGCCACACCACAACATTGAGTCACTTCCAATGCCACAAACCTTCCCACTCTGCTTCCCCTCCTCCCTCCCCTGGACCAATTCATAAAAAGAACAAGTACTAGTCTTTCTTTTTCCATTTTCGTGCCGGCACAAGGAAGGAGACCAACGCCTTGTATAAATATTATACACCTTCACTCCAACACAACTCCCTCCAAAGTCCAAACCCTTCCTTCCACCATTTTCTAAACCTCAACAGAAACACCCTGCTTCTATTCTAACCTCCCTCCCATAATGGAAACCAAATCCCGGGGGTCAGACATCCATCTACCCCCGGGCTTTCGATTCTACCCAACCGATGAAGAACTCATAGTTCAGTACTTGAACAACAGAATTCGATCAGCTCCTCTACCAGCTTCCATTGTTGCCGAGATCGACCTCTACAAGTACGACCCGTGGGACCTACCAAGTACGTATTGCTATTATTATTACTCCCTCCCTCCCTCCTTACTGCTATGAAATGAAAGGAATGCCAATTCCCCAGTTCTCCATTTCCTTATCTGCTTCATACTTCCTTAACTTTCCGTGTATGCAACCATCAGGCAAGGCGCTCTTTGGAGAGGACGAATGGTACTTCTTCACACCCAGGGACAGGAAGTACCCAAACGGAGCCCGCCCCAACAGGGCAGCAGCTTCAGGCTATTGGAAGGCAACCGGGACAGACAAGCCCATTCTTACCTCAACTGCAATGTCAAGCGTCGGTGTCAAGAAGGCTCTTGTCTTCTACAAAGGCCGCCCTCCTAAGGGAATTAAGACTGACTGGATCATGTATGAATATAGGCTGCCTGATACTGTGGTCTCCACTGCCAGGCAAAAAGGGTCCATGAGGGTAAGTAACAATAAATACACCCTTCATTTTAATCTCTTTGGCCTATTCATATTCTCTCAAAACTCACAACTCCTTCCCTCCTTTCACCCCCCCTCATCCTTGCAGTTAGACGACTGGGTCCTATGCCGGGTTAGGCAAAAGTGTAGTAGCCCTAGGAGCCTTTGGGAAGATCCAAGTGCTCCTCTTCAAGAACTAGCAGGGACTTTCCCAAAACAAAATGAGCTGCTGCAAATGAGTGCAAATCTATGCAAGACAATGAATAGCACAACTCCTAGCATCGAAATTGTCAACAATAATCATGGGGGCAAGCCAGGGAATACAAACAACCTTAATAATGATGACATTGTGAAAAACTACTTCACGAACCCTAATGACGAGGCAGTGAAGCATTACCTCTACAAGGAGTGCCCAATGCTGCCTTACATATTTGCATCTCAAGATTTTTCCTCCTGCACCACTGAACAACCAGCATCCAGCATAAACTTTCAAGGCAGTGAGAAGTCAAGCATTTCAGGTTATGATGAAGATTCTTCGGATGATAAGAACCTGCAATTCTCATCAGTTACTTCGCTAGATAACTTCTTTAACCCACTGAAGCGCAAAGATGTTGGAAGAGAACATCAGCAGCAGGATTCTAGTTTTTACCTAGGCAAGAAGCCTAAAAATGGAGATTTCGACGAAGATACGATGATATCTATATGTGAGGATACCTTCGATATCAACTTTTGTGGAGACGATCAGTTTTAGAACACTAATGATGGTGCTCTACAGCAAACCCATTAGGCAGAATATGAATAGCTTCGTAACGTTAAGCTTCAGAGCAACCAACTAGACACCAGAGAAGGACCCACCATGATAAAAGGTACATAATTTGTAGTAATCGGGTTTCATCGAGTACAAAAGGAAAACTCTTTTATGTTGAGAGTTGTTCCAGAAGATCATTAGCAACTACTACGCAGAAAAGTCAGGTCCTTGAATTTCTACAAATTTTGTAATAGTAGAATTTTCTGGGATGAGCAACCATATCTCTAATACTTTTACAGCCACACAGATATGGTAAATATCCAAAAGGCAAATAAAATATGCGGTTGATCTTATCAGGCAAATAATATACAGCGCATTTCCTAGGATCAATTTGAACAGCAATCCTTACAGACCTCATCAGTCAGAAGGAATGAATTCATCACAACGTCAACATGAGTGGCCTCAGCTGGAGAAGGGTCTAAATATAACCGAGACATATGAAGAATCACTAGAATCTTTTCAAAAGAAAATGTTATATACCTTATGCCATGTACCCCAGTTATACTTTTTGTACAGATTGCTTGGCGTGAGATTACACTCACTGGTTTACTACAAAGTCAGAAACATTTTACCTCTAGATGCAGGAATCCTCAACCCAGTGATCTAATAAGGAAATCATATTCAACTTAGTGACCCTCAACTGCCACCGAGGCATATAATAAGATAAGTCTCTTCTAGAACTTGCGCTTTTCTGCTTCTGCTTCTAGACCATTTCACTTAAACTAGACGTAAGTTAGAGATGATATGGGAAAATTAGATCACAAAATCATTTACTGCTCGACAAACAGGAAAGAAGATAACTGAATACATATATGACTGACTTCTGAGATCTTTACACAAGAAAGGTACATTCAAGTTGGCGCCAGAAAACTCATAAACAGGATTGACAAGCCAAACACGGAAGGCAAGCAAGCGGAGTCATTGAGGTACATTACAGTGCAAAGGAAAGCCAAACATATCACAACGTGAGATAAGTCCATCAACAGTACCCCTTTGTTTCATTTCTTCAATACACTGCAAAAATCCATGCTTTCATACATTAGGCAACTTGTGGACATCTAAACTAATATAAGCTTGTTGATCAGGTAGGCAGCAACTTACTTGTACAAATAAGCAGCGATGCCCAAGATTACGATCAACAAAACAATATCGATGCAGAAATTCCTGCTGGATCTCAACTGTAGATCAAAGATCTTTTCAGTTAAAGCAAGGAAGCTACAACAGGTAGCAGCAGATTGAAAATCTTTAAAAAACATATAAATCATACCTGAGTAACAGTGTGCTTAAGTCTAACATTGGTGTTCTTAAGGTCAGAAGCTGCCTTGTCCACCTGAAAGAACCAGAGGACAGAACCTCAAAATTCAACAGCATGTCTGCAAGTCTCAATTTTCATGTTATGAAATCAGAATTCTACTTACCTTGGAATCGATTTCATCAGCCAGAGGAACTTGCCTGTCCAGTTCCTATCAGGATCACATAAGATCAATTAAACCTGGGCCTTAATATATAAACAAGTGAGCAAAATGACTAAAATGGTGCGTCTGTGTCTCGCTCAACAAACACTTGCCTGCATCACTATTCACTTTATGTCGATAGGAAAGTGAAGAGAAGAAAAGAAACAAGAGAGTAGGGAAAAACTACTACCTCATTCATGTCATGAGCCATGTTTTTCAAAGTATCCAAACCTTCTGAAATCATCTCCAAACCTTGATCCTGTTTTAAATTTATTGGTCACAATACTAAGATATACGAAGATTTTATGAAGAGAGGAGCCTCAGAATTTCACTGCACCATGTATATTTTCACTTACCTGCCTCCTCTTACGTGTTTCATGCTCCTGCCTAAACTGATTTGACTGCTCAGATTCTTGAAAGTATTCATCATCAAACCGACCATCTACAAACAACATTAAAGTGTAAGGAAAATGCACCTCAATCATCCAGTGAGCTGTGCCTCATTGGTAAACTCCCATGTACAGGCAGGGGGTGCAGGGCAAAAAAGAGGAATCACGCGACAATAGTAGATAATAAGATGAACAAGATGCTTAAATTACCTGAATCAAATTTGATTTCTGTGTGGGAAGCTGAGGGCCCCCAACCTCCAGGTTGTTTTGCTGCAGCTGCAGAACCGTCTGGAATAGCTTGGATTCTATCTGGCAATGCAAGCACCAAGTCATTGCGGGCTGCAAAGTCTTCTGTCGAAAGGCCTTTTACCTGTCAATAGATGGCACATAAGACAAGAAGAAAGGGAATAAGAACATTTCTACTTGAGATTCGCTGATAAAACCAATAGATCCACTTTGTTACACACGAACAGAAACGGAAGGGGAAAAAAACCTAGGGGCTTGCGCTTATATCTTCCGGAGCCCTCACAAACAAAAATAAAATGGTGGCTGCAAGGGCAAATTTGATAACTGGACCGAAATTTTGCTACAGTTGTCAAACTCTCCACTAACAAAACCCGATAGAGCAGGAGTTCCTGATTTACAATCCAGCATTGCCAAGACGATGCTTCATTCAGCGGAAGAAAAGGCAAGAGAACAATTTTCAGCTATTCATATGGATTTCTCGATTCAGACAGCGGGAAGCCGACAACTTAGATATGAACTATTGTAATTGCATACCTTCTTTATTGCAAGCCTCTGCAACTTTGGAACCTCCTCGAGCAATTTCGCCTTGGTCCGACGGAGCTCGGCATTGAGAGCTACAATGGACGCCTTGCTTTTCTCCTTGGAAGCAAGCTCCGCTTTCTGAAATGAAAAACTAGCAAAATGAAGGCCAATTCAAATAGAACTTCACGATCCGCTATCCCTCAACAAGTAGAGATACAACAACCTCCACACTTACTAATTGAATCTAATTTTAGCTAGAACTGAAAAGAGCAGAAACTGTTTCAACTCAACTCGACAAATTCGAAGATCCCTACGCCTCAACTCCAACCAGCAAGGAAAACCTGAATTGATCACCGGAATGAAAAAGGCGGCGGAGCACGAAAGCAAGGAAAACGAAAGTCACCTCAAGAGCGGCTTCGATTTCGGCGTCAACGGCGGCGTAACCGCGAGCGAACGCGTCGTCCCCGGAGACATTGAGATTCTTCTGCTTCTCGACGTCGTATTTGTCGTACTTGTTGCAGATCGCATCGACTCGCGTTAGGATGTCGATCACGCTCATTTCGCCGGTCTCTGAATTGCACCTTCTGCTAGTGGTAACCCACCCCTATTACGTCGGCTCAATCTAGCTCTAGGGTCTGGAAGAAGGAAGGATTTTGGCTTGCTTGCGCTGAAAAGGTGCTTCGACTTCGCAGTTTGTGTTTTGCTAGCGCAGCAAAAAGCAATGCGTTATGATTCATACACCGCGCAGTGGGCTGTACAACTACTGCCAGCCTGTATATACGGCCTATTATAATTTTGTTTCAACTTTTGGGAATCTTTGTTGGTGGTTTTATAAAGGGATTTTTCCAGAAATAACATCTTTAAAAAAAAATTACAAAAATAGTATCCATCCGTAAAAATTTCCACTAATAGCACTCTTTTTAATAGAACGCACCTTGTAGATGTGTTTTACATATAAATCGCACCCTATAAATGCGTTTTAAATATAGATCGCACCCTACAAGTGCGTTCCAAAAATCTGGAATCAAATCGCACTTTAGCCAAGCGATTTTAGGTCTGACCTAATAAAATCGCATGGCCGAGGTGCGATTTTAGGTCTGACCTACTGAAATCGCATTGCCAAAGTGCGATTTTATGTCTGACCTAATAAAATCGCATGGCCGAGATGCGATTTGGTTCTGCCAGACAAAATCGCACCATGAGGATGCGATTTTAACATGCAAACCGCACCTTAAAGGTGCGGTTTTGGTCAATCAATATCCGACATCCATACAGACGTTACAGACGTGGGTCTGCATGGGCCTGCATGGAAGACGAAAATCGCATCTCTAAAGTGCGGTTTTCATCAAGATTTTGCCTATAAAAGGCCTCCCGGACAACCATTTCTCTTCACACCTCTCCTTCTCCCTTCCCTTTTCAATTTTCTGTTGTAGCTCTATATTTCTAGTGGTTTTGCGATTAACGTTAACTCGTAAGTTGATTTAGTATTACATATTTCTTTAGTAGTTTTGCGATTAACGTTAACTCGTAAGTTGATTTAGTATTACTTTTTATTGTTAATTTTTATTTTTGATTTTTATGATATTAACTTAACTACGGTTTTATCGCAGATGGCATTCCAAAAGTTCACGCTTGGCTTACGGTGGAATGGTTACACGGAAGAGACCGGAAAGGGTGCCACCTACGTAGGTGGCAATTTTCAGAAGATAAAGGTCGCTACCAGACCGCTGCTTGAAGACCTCCATCAAATGTGCACTAACGTTACTTGCATGGATGGCATGAGAAAAGTTGATCGTATGGTGTACCGATATCCAAACAGAGAAAGTGGGTCATTGTGGCATGAGGAATATCTCATAACCACTCAGGATGAGGTAGACGCCATGCTCGAATTCATGAGGTCCAACAATCTTTCCAAAGCCGAGATGTTCGTTTACACCGAGCCGGTCGTAGGCGTTGGAGGTCATTCTGGACACGGTCAAACATCTGGTATCCATGGTGGAGGTGAATACTATGGCGATCATCCCTACCAAAGTTACCATGATCCTAATTCATATTTTCAGTACCAAGAGCAAGGTGAAGGTCATCATCAATCATATGAAGAAGAAGTTCAACCGGACGATCCCAACCAACCTCAGTACAACTTCCTCTCAGGCAGCGGTAGTTTTCACAACTACCATTATGGAGCTGATGAAGGTGCCTTTCATGAGCTGGATCAGATGGAGGATGTCATGGCAGCACCAGTCAGTGACCCCTCCGATGAAGAAGGAGAGAACAACGTCAGTGCAGACAGCTCCGACCCTCTTGAAGGTGCCGATGATTCCGGACCAGAGTCAGACTCAGCTAATGATGATGAGGGGGCTCGTGACCGTGTACCAGTCCCCTACTACAATCACATTCCAGACGACAATTGGATGGTCGACAGCAACATGGAGCCGCCAGAGGTCCCAATATGGGGTCCACTCACTGGGTTTATGAAGGGCCAACAATTTGGCTCGAAGAAGGATGTGCGTCACGCCATTGAGACAGAAGCAATGACTCGGGCATTTTGAATGGCTCACAACTCATTCCAACACTAAAAGGCTCTTAGTCAGATGCCGTAATCATCACGAGGGGTGCAATGTTAGGATTCGGGCCATCAACAGCAAGAGACACGGTTGCTGGGTCATATCCCGTGCGGTGAACACACACACATTTGTGTCATCCATAACTTCCCAAGGCCATCGACAGTTGAAATCCAGGGTGGTTGCTGCGGCTATCAAGCATCTAATTGAGCAAGAGCCAGACCTAAAGGTGAAAGTCATAATCGCTGACATTGCAAGTCGTTATGGTTATATGATTAACTATAAGAAGGCGTGGCATGGAAAGCAGAAAGCTCTGGCCGCCGTCTTTGGTGATTGGGAAGAATCGTATGCATTCCTTCCCAGATTAATTTTGGCATTGGAGGCGTCTAACCCTGGCACGGTTTTCTCCCCTCGATACCAAGATGAAGAGATACAACCCCCAGAGCCAGGTAACAAGCGCCATTTCAGACGACTTTTCTGGGCATTTCAAGCCATGTATTGATGGTTTTGGCTTCTGTGTCCCTGTCATCCAAGTGGATGGAACATTCCTTACCGGCAAGTACAAGGGCACTCTCCTGATTGCCAGTGGGGCGGATGCAAACAGACAAGTCTTTCCTTTAGCCTTCGCCATCGTTGAGGGAGAGAATGCTGATAGCTATGGGTGGTTTTTCCGGCAAATCCAGATCCATTGTACTAGGAGGACGAACCTTACAATAATCTCTGATCGGCACGCCGGCATTAGAGCTACCATCTTAGGTTTAGATCCAGCCTGGAAGTGGTCCCAAAGGTTGTGCATACGACACTTCAAGAGCAACTGGAACCATCATTTCAAGCGGAAGAAGCTTGCTGATAATTTGTGGTGGATTGGTAAGTTTGTAATTAGCCGTATAATTTAGTTCCAATTACAATATCTTAGTACGTTTGGCGAGTGGTGCTCTGGTTAGACTCTTTCTAAAGTGATGCATGCCTAAGGAGATGGGGTTTTAAGCGATTATCATGATCCTCCCATTTCCTGGGAAAATCGGGTTTTAAGCGATCTTCGGATCCCCCCTTTTTCTGTCAAACAGGCTGTGTTTCTAAGGAGATGTATACCTCTCCTAAGAGTCTAACGAGAGTAACTCCGGGTATTCGAATTTGTACTAAATTGCCGAAAATTGACTAACATACTACTTTCTGTGTCTTCCTCAGCGGTTGCCTACCAAGAAAAAAAAATTCTGGAGAAGATGCAGAAGTTGCGCGAGTTATGCCCTGAGGGGGCACAGTGGTGCACTGGACATGACCTATCCATGTGGACATTTCATAAAGATGGAGGGACAAGATGGGGTATTGCCACAACGAACTCAGGTGAGAGTATCAACTCTGTCTACAAGGCCGTTCGTGCACTGCCAATCTCTGCCATTGTGGAGATGACTTTTTGGAAAACGAATGCATGGTTCGTCAACCGACTCCATTGGGCCAGAACGAACGAGGCACAGGGTAAGGTCCATGCCTATAAATTCATGGAAGTAATGGAGAATGACAATCGCAAGAGCAGTCGACATAGTGTAACCGTTATGAATCGGGCAAATGGCGAGTATAGCGTGACGACCGGGCATCGGGAGGACGGTAGACGGGGGGGGGGGGGGGGGGGGGGGGGGGCCACCGCCATGAAGTTGTGGTCAATTTCAGGACAAAAGTTGGTGAGTGCTCATGCCAGAAGTATCAAGGTAGAGGGTGGCCTTGTTCTCATGCAATGGCCGTAATTAAAAACAGGAGCAAAGACCCACGTCACTTCGTTAGTCCGTTCTTCAATATCGACTCACTCAAAAACACCTATGGACGGAGTTTTCGTGCATTGCTTGATGAAGTTTATTGGCCGATGTACGAAGGAAAATTGATCATCCCGCCGTTCGGACAGAGGCGTGAGCCGGGTCGCCCGAGGAAAAAGAGAATTCCAAACGAAATGGATCAAAGTGGAAGACCACCACGGGGCCCAAGACGATGTTCAATATGCAAAGTTCCAGGACATGATAAACGAAGATGTCCAGGCCCGATTGGTCCGCAAAATCCGGGTCCTGATGTGCCGGAATCAGCTAATGCGACATAGTTTGCTTTTATCATTTTTTTTCAAGCATGTTGAGACTCTTACTTTGCAATTAAATGTGTAATGTTGATTGAACGAAATGTGTATTGTGTGATAAGCCCTCGATTAGCTTAGCTCAGAATCACGCAGCGATGAATCAAAATTGGATGAATTTGGGGATGAAACTCGATGGAAATTAACGAACTAAATCAGGAACTTCAACACGAAACTGAGATAAAGGAAAAAGAAAACGTTTAACAACCAAAACTTGCATCCTAAGTTACTAACTTCTCTCACAAGTAAACTGTTCCAAAACAGCCTTTGATGTCAACTTTGTGGTTTGTGGAAATCGGTCTTATGGGTTGAGTCGAGCTCAATCAATTTCAATCAAATTACTTATCTCCACTGTATTGTTGATTGAACTAATTGGAAATAAAAGGCATAGTTCCCAGGGGATGGAAATAAAACCAAATTGAAACAACAATCAATTCGATAAACTAAGATAATAGGAATAGTTCAAATTACATAGAAATTAAATTCAACTCTCATGAATCCGCTCAAGGAAGTCCACGAGCTTCATTCGATCCCACGGTTTTCTTGCTCCTTGTACAACGACTGACGGGAGTAACAATCGGTGGCGGCGGTGGCAAGTTTCGAACTCGGGCCGAGGTAGTTTGGCGGTCGTCGGTGCTATGTCGGCGGGGAATCGGCACTTCCGGGATTGAGCGGGGGACATCCACGGAAGTATGGTGAGTCGTAGGAGGCCACTGCTGATGAGGACGAGCCCATGGAGTAAAATCGTGGTGTGCCGTCGCGGAGGAACCATCATGCCAAGTACCCGATGATGTATGGAGGGGAGATGGTGGGTAGATCGGGCGGTAGTCGTGGTAACCTCCTTGGCGGGGAGATGGTGGGTAGACCGGGCGGTAATCGTGGTAACCTCCTTGGCGGGGAGATGGGGGGTAGATCGGGCGATACTCGTAGTACGATCCTTGACGGGGATCGTTGTATGAGATCGGGGTGGGACTCGGAGGAGTTTGATGGTATGTCGCCCGAGGATCGTAGTACGAGCCTTGGTGGCCAGTTTGGCTGGAACTCTGGCCGGCGCCTTGGGATGAACTCGGGCCG